AAGTGGTAGTTCTTTACCTTTGATAGAAGAAGAATCCATGTTCCTACACGCCTTTAACTCATTGTTTTTTCCAACGAGTCTTGCTCAAGTAGACGCGCCTCCTTTTACTAGCTCTCACTCATGATACTACCCCACCACTCGGTGCTTTAGTCTTATTCAGAAGACCAGAGTAAATCTTGGATTGCATCAAACTAGCTTGCCACTGTGTAGATCCACCTGGAGTCATCCCAGTCTACGTGAGTAACACCACTGGCTTAACTACATCACTCTTCCTAGCAGAGTCAGAACCTGTGCCTTCTAGATCAACATGATGAAATGGTTCCTCTGCAGACCGTAGAAAAACTCTTTGATCCTAGTGTCCTCTCCAAGGACATGCTGAGTCCCCATTGCCAAGTCCAGGTGCTACTCAAGAGGTATAACTGTGGTGGCCTTACTCATGTGTTGTCCACTCGGTGCAACTGTGTTATTAGGTCGCTTTTAGATGTTTGACCAAATGGCGGGTCTTCCATCTTTCTACCATCATGATCCATATTCTCCTCATTTCTCCTCTGGGGCTTTATCCTCATCCATGGTAGAGTCCATGTCAATGACTTGGGGCTCACCATCGGGCATATCTTTCTCCATTCTCAAATTGTAGCTCATAGACATAATCCCCAATGACTACATCCACAAGGTCCAGGATGAGGTTGGGATTCAAAGACGGCTACTTTCATTCTAGCTCTACCATACTTCTTTGTAAACTTAGTATCAACTGCTTTCGAGAGACACCTAGGATTGAGCCAATTGCCCAAATAATAGGGAAGTCTCAGCAGTTCCTTTGGGAGTCCCCTAAATCGCACCCAAACCTTGTCAATCTCATATTTAAAAACATCATTTTCTGTCCTTTTCTCAAACCGAATCTTTCCTTTCACTGTTTTGGTGTCCATTGGACCCCAATCCACCATGTGATTGAGCACTTTAGAAGAAGGGAAATTAGTGATAAAGGCGTCGTTGCCTTTCTCTTCAATCACCCAACTGTTTCCGGGTAGTAGTTTGTCGAGTTCCACTGCTAGTTGATCTGTAGTAAGAGAACCCTCCAGAACACGTACCATAGCTGATTTGTCCTCTGAAACTATTTTTGGATTTTCTACAATAGGTATAAAATAGAATCCTAAACCTTCAACGGCATATCCACATGGTATAGCAGTAGAAAGAAGATTCTTCAAATTTGGGCAAACCTTTTTAACATGATCCCCAAAGCAGATCTCACAGATAAGTACTGCTGTACAAACTGAAATTGTATGCCCTTTAGTATGACAACGATAGCAATATGGTTTACCCTTGCTTTTTTTATTCCCCTTCTAGGATGACTCTGGCACATCGCTCTGGATCACTACATTGTTGGAGCTTGGTGGGGCAGTGGTCGGCTTGAGTATGTCGGTTGATGCCTGAAAGCATCTAGGCCTCTAGTTGGGTTTCGATGATTAATGACAATACGAGATTACTATGACTAACGTGTGTTTTGCAGAGGCAATTAAGTTAGGTCATGGTAATGGAGATTGATTGGGCAATCATGGTGGTCATGCCCCTACGATGGAAATCGTTTCGGTTTTCAAAGGATGGACGACAAGGTTAAGGATGACTAGTTCTAAGTGTCGATTGGAGTTAGAGAGACACTTAGAGTAGTTTAGGACTTTGTTTATCCTTTGGCCGTGCTATTAAGGGCGGTATGGATGGGTAGCTTGACCTAGGTGAGTCTAGTGAGTTAGGTGTGGTGCACAATTGTTAAAACTAGCACTAGGTAGCTTCAAAATAGCCCTTAGATCCAATGGAGCAAACTTCATTCACATATGATCGAGAGTTGGAAGTGAATGGAGGGTCAATTACTGACCGAACGCTGGCTCCGTTTTGACTAGACGCTGGCTCAGGGTCCGGTCAGTTCATTTGACCAAGGTGATTGCGTCTGGCGCGACCGGACGCTGAGAGGTCATGTGACCGGACGCTGAAAGGCAGCGTCCGGTCGACTCCAGTAAGGTTCCAGAGAGGGAAAATCACGACCGGACGCGTCCGGTCACAATGTAAACACTGGAGTTCGGGGTATACTGACCGGAGCATCCGGTCAACATGACCGGAGCGTCCGGTCACCCCGTAGAGGCACATAACGGTTCGTTTTTCAGCCCTTGTTATAAATACCACCTCTACTCGTGTGTGGGGGTACTTTTGCTTATTCCAACAGCTGAGAAACACGTTTGTGAGTGCCAAGAAGAGCAAGGTCCTAGTGAGGTGATTGAGATTTGAGAATCTCAAAGAGAGCCCTCGTTAGTGAGATCAAGAGTAGCAAAGTGTACATCCACCCATCTCATTAGGCTTGTCGTGGTTAAGTGAGAGTTCGTGCTTGTTACTCTTGGTGATCGCCATCACCTAGATGGCTTGGTGGTGATTGAGAGCTTGGTGATCATCCGAAGAGCTTGTGGATGACCCAACTCACATTGTGAGTGGTTGTGGGTGATTCACCACGACGGAGTGTCGAAGAATCAACCCGTAGAGAGTGCTTGATCCTTGCACGGATCAAGGGGGAGCTACACCCTTGCGCGGGTGCTCCAACGAGGACTAGTGGGGAGTGGCGACTCTCCGATACCTCGACAAAACATCACCGTATTTCCTCTCATCTCTATTTACCTTGAGCATTTACTTTGAGCAATTCAATTCTTGTTCTTACATTCATAGAATTGCCATGCTAGAGTAGGATTAGAACTTATGTTGCAAGTATTTTGTGCGTTAGTTCAATAGAAACACTTTCTAGGCACAAGGGGTTAATTGGGCTAACCGTAGGACTTAATTATTGCAAAGAAATTTAGAATTAGCCCAATTCACCTCCCTCTTGGGCATCTTGATCCTTTCAGCGCCGTTTCCGTCGTGGACAAAGGTTGAGGCGCTACCCCCATGGTTGGATTGGAGACAGCACCCAGCGCCACCTGCGAATTGGCTCCAGCGCCTTGCCCTGTAGCCACGCCCTATCCATGCATAGGTGCATGGCCCAAAGTGGGCTGTCCCGCCGATGCCTCCAGCACCCCTCGTCATGCACCACCGCCAATGGCCAGGTGAACGCCACCATTACCAGCAGACTACGTGCAGCGTTCTTGCCAATGCGTAGTCTGCCACCGGGCGCCAAAAACCGCCGTGTCTCCGCCTCGAACGTATCACTTTTTGCCTGGAAGGGAGGTGGATGTCCCGACGCCAAGGATGGCTGGTAGTATGGCCGGCCCTGGTTATGCTTCACATGGCCACGCCCTCCTCCATATGCCCCACCATAGGGACGTCCACCTCGCCCGCCGCCGTTGTATCCGCTGTTGAATCCATTGTATCCTGGACCGCCGTAGCCTCCATGACCACGACCGCCTGTTGAATCCGGATCGATGCACTGAAGTTTCAGAATTTCAAATTTTTTTGAACTCTGGACATCTCTTGCCGGAGTTGACTGCGCCGGCGATGGCGAGGAATTGGCACCGCCTCCGACATGCCGTTCCGCCGGCGATCCTATCTGACGAGATTTTGAACTCCTCTGGTATGACGCCGTGGCCATGGCGTCACCGAGGGTTCGGGATGGAGAGATTCTGGGAGGAGGCAGCCGACCCTGCCATGGCGTCCCGCCCAACTTCCTCTGAACCATCTTCGACACAATGGAATACGCAAGCCGGACATCACCTGAGTGCATACCTGAGTCCAGAGCTTTCTCAGCTCTGGAGAGTTGATCGATGGTGAAGCCTGCTTCGAGCGCTTCCCTGACGAAGACCGGCTGGATGGTTCGCTACTGCTGTTCTCGTCGTCATGAATCAGATCAGGTGTCGAGTGATCATCGTGGTTGCCTTCCTCAGCCTCTGAACCTTCTGAACTTTGCGCCCAAAACTTGAAAGGCAGCGACTGGGGACTTGGCCTCCGGCATGCTGCCGCCACTATCGCCACGAATCTTGACAACTCCGCACGAGCCTCCGCACACCTCCTTTCGTCGTCTTCCTCACTGTCTTCCTCCTCCGCGGCCGTCGAAGACGCCTGTACTCCTCGCCGGAACGAAGGCGCAAAGGTCAACCGTCGCCACATGGTTAGCTTTTGCTATGTATCTAGGTGCATAGGATGAGGTGTTTCTGCCACAGCCAGCACTGTTGAGGGTTCTGTTTCTTATATAATATATATAATGGAAAAACAGTGAGGTGTGTCTACGGAAAAACATAGAAAACGCATTCAGTTTCCATCAGAGAGTAAACATAAGCAGTTTCTTGGCTGTTTCTCATCCGTGACATTGGAAAGGCGTATGGAAAGGTGGCGGAAAGGCTATAAAAAAGATCACGATGATGTCGCAAAATGACGAAGCGATAATGACTGGTGCCAAGGCTACGGCACCCTGATACATTTCACTGTAATCAGTAATCAGTTAATCACTCACGAGAATTACCTTGCGAATCGAACATTAGCCGATGCACGGGCACGGCGGTAAATGGGCACGCGATCACAGGCTTCCTTAAAACCAGTTCACATGCACCGCACCAGACCATCCATGAAGAAGCGCCCCAGTCCCCCGGTAGACCCCACCCCACCCCTAGTGGGTCCCGCTTGACCTCCCAGCCCAGGGAGGCAGCGAGGAGGGAGCGCGAACATAATCAAGCGACAAAAACTAAACTAACCCCCCTCTCCGAGTCTCCCTCCCCTCCCTATCTCTGTCTCTGCTTGCTCATGTCTTGTGTTGACGCGCCTGCAAGTACGAGACAGCGAGCGGGAGGAAGAAGAAACAAAAGGCCGGCCCTGATGCAACCTCGCCGCAAGAGCACCACCACCACCTCGCCAATCTATTGAGGCGGCTAATTCGTTAGCGTAGCGCGGCGGCCAAAGTGTAACAGGGCCGTGCAGTGCGCTCCTGCCGGAATTGGTGGTCGCCTGGTCGGGCAAAAAGCTACCACGGCAGCGGCGGCAGCAGCAGCAGCGAGGAGGAGGAGGAGGCGGAGCCGTCCCGAGGATTGCGTGGCGCAATGCCCCTGTCGCGGCACACGGTGCGGAACGAGTTCGCGCTGGGCGGCCGCGACCTCTACCGCGCGGCCGACCAGCACGACCCGGAGGCCGTCCTCGATGGCGTCGCCATGGCCGGACTCGTCGGCGTCCTCCGCCAGCTCGGCGACCGCCGCCGAGTACGTGCGCCGCACCATTCCCGTCCTTCCTGTCTTGCTCTCCTTTGTCCGCCTTGAATACGGATTTTGCTGTTCTCGTCTTAATTCTGTGGTGGTTTCCGCTCCCGTTGCATTCGATTCGAGCATCTTCATTTTCCTGGACGAGCTGTTGATGTCATGCATTTCAAATTGCTGCGTCATGGTTCCCGGACCGATCGCTTTCGCTTTGATTTTCGGTCGTAGTAGATCACCTAATGCTTTTGTTATGTTACGTTACGAACAGAACGGTAGGTTTTCGAATCCTTTCTCCTTTTTGAGAAACGGTAGGTGATTGATGTATTAGACGTTTGACTTTTCAGGTCGTTAACTCATAACTCTGCTGATGGCCTTGTCCTAGCTCAGCAGCACAGACGACAGACCACTGTGCTGTCGTAATATTTCCGTTCCTAATAAGTACTATACTTGTGAATTGTCATCAAGCACTTCTAGCTACCCTGTACCGAAAAATAGCTGCCATTTCTAGGGGGAAAAGAACAAAACCGAAAAGCTTTTCTTATCGTCATTTATGCAAGAATGCTCTGATTAATTTCTGATACCTGAAAATTGAAGCAAAGAAAAAAATCAACAAAAAGACCAAAGTTTGACCATCATGAATCGCAGCAAGCTGCATTTGCAGAAACCAGAATTTCAGAGAGGAACAGCACAAATTCATATTGTGCTCATGACGCAACTGAACTCCCCTATTGTATGGCTGCAGATTTGCTGCACAGGTGTTCCACGGCCTGTATGATGAGGTGATGATCACGTCTGCGCGAGGGCACGGGCTCATGCTCCGAGTGCAGCAGCTGGAGGCAGAGCTGCCACTGCTAGAGAAAGACTCCTGCCAGAGAGACTACCTGTATGTTGCTTCTAACAGGGGTGGGTTCAGTATCAAGTGCACATTTCTCTTCTGATGCTTATCCTTCACTACTTCTCAATTTTCAGGAAAAAAAAGCAAGATCAGTCTGCTTTTTTCCCTCATTTGTAAAAGCCATAATTAAATCCCTTTTGCAGGTGTCGATTGGCATTCAAATCCAAGGGTGGACCATGGGGTTGTCACAAGAGGTGACACGCCCCGCTTCATCATGGACTCAATCAAGCAGTGTCGCGGACCACCCAAACTCTTCATGCTGGACAAGTATGATGACCTATCTCTAGTGTGTAGCAACTGAAGACCTGAATCATGACGGTTGCAGCATTGTTCAACATGCAGGTATGATATCGGCGGTGAGGGGGCGTGCTTGAAGAGATACACCGACCCGTCATTCTTCAAGACGGATTCCGCATGTTCTACCTTGCTGCAGGAAGGAATTCAAAATGAAAGAAGACCTCTGAAAGCCATGGTAATAAACACTTCGAAGTTCTCACAAGTTCATATGGATATATTCAGTAGCTGAAGTGAGCACCCTTAACTCGCCTCCAGGAAATTTGATAGACCCAGTGAATGCTGGAAATAAATAGATTGAATATTTTTTCTGCCAATTGCTATACGTTTTTTTTCTTATATTGTGCACTTAACAAAAATCAGCTCCACCAAAAGAGAGAACAGAACGTTCGACTGAACTTAATGATGGGAACATAAAAATCATTTTGTCCACTCTTGCAGGAGATCAGGCCTAACCTTCAGAATGCTGAGATTTTCCGACCCCCAAATGAAGCCGACAATTTCTCCAAGTACCTTTCCTCTTACACTCTTTGAAATGTATTAATAATGCTATTGTTCTGCTAACTTATTCTAAAAACGTTACTTTGTCCATCTCTGTAGACTGGAGACAGATTTATCTGGTGAAGCTATGGATGAAGTTCCTACATACCGCAGACGACTGAAGTACCGCCAATTAAATGGATCTGTATTTCAAAGCTTCAGACCACATATGCAGAATCTGTATGAAAAGCCTTCATCAGAGGATAAACTCGTGACAAGTGACCACTCAAAAGTGCATATATCTATGAATGATTCGCCTCAATCAGACACTGAAGAGAGAGACATCATGTTAGACACGTCCGTCAACATGGAAAGAGGCAAGGTCACTGTTCGCAAGAACATATCAATTTCTGAAGAAGCACTGTCACGTTCTTCAGATGCTCGGTCAGCAGGAAGCAGCAAGGGCTACAACTCTGAATTTGATATCTACATGGATGCATTAACCACGATGGATTCTGAAATGGAGACAGATTCGGAACACAGGGCCATGGGCAATGTACCTTCGATCGGATGGATTCAGACAATAGATTCTCCAATGCTCAAAACACCATGGCATCGAAGACTAGCAGCTTCGAGAAGAAAGACAAGTCAGATGTTGCCTCAGCAAACAGAGATATGAGTAACAAGTATGAAGAAGCCATTGTCTCCACACAAGACACCAAACCAGTTGTTGGTGAACATGAGAGGACCAGCTCATTAGAGGAACTGCTTGACAAAGAAAAACCAGCTTCTTGGGATCATGAGAGGACTAGCTCCTTGGAGGAATTGCTCACCGAAGATTTAAATGCTCCAGAATCTGGAGTAAGAGAGCAAGCTGCTGAAGAACAGAGCTTGAATGGCAGTGTCAACAGTGTTGTATCAAATGGCACACAAGATATTACTAAGACCAAGGAAGTCAAGGAGAATTCCAACATCGCAACTATTTCCTTCAAGAAAATAGCAAGCAAGAGGTCCAAGTATGTCGGTAGCATGGAGCTCATTGCTTCAAAAGTTGGCATTCTGCCGAGGAAACTCTCCAAGAAGCATGACCCTTTCTCTGATTCCCTCCGGTACATGGCGAAGCAACTCCTTGAACTGAAGTATGATGGCACTCAAGATAGAGACTTATATGACTTTGAAGCAAACTGTGTGGGATGTGATGTCAAGTACCAGGAAATTTATGACCCTCCTGTTGAAATTAAGGAGAGTGATGTGCACAAAATTCCGTCAGATTCACCTTATGATGATGTGGATTCAAGAAAATGCCTGCAGGAAGAAGTAAACCATGAGCTGGAGCATGATGTTCCACCTACTGACAGTCCACATGATTCAGTCCCTGATGAAGGAAATGTATTTCAGGACTCCAACATGGTCTACTTGGCAGGCATCATTACATCTTGCAGTTCCCAAGAGGAAGAAGGATGTGCAAGTACTGCACTTGATGAGAATTCATCTACGGGAGTAATCATCCATATTTTGGAGCATGCTCAAGAGAAGTTCGAGGAACATCTTGACAAGGAAGTGAATGAGGACATTCATACAGAAGTCATTTCTGAAAATGCATCTGATAAGTGTGAAGACTTGAAAGAAGTCGGCATTTACATGGAGCAGGTGAATGTGGAAGATATTGAGGAAAGCAATAAATCTGATGTATATGTATTGGATGATGAAACTGCCGAGTATATAGAAGAGCAGTTAGTTTCAGATGGTATGATCTCTTCACGGCTTCATCCAAGCAATCGGATGATCCTTGCCAGATAACTCCACTCACTCTCGCAGATGAAGATGATACAGTGACATGTAAGATCTTGGACAGACCTGAAGCGGAGCATATTACATTGTCAGAAACATTCACGGATATTGATCTACCTAATGTGGTAACTGAGTCGGTAATCAACAGCGAACATGCCATGCCAGATAGTGAACAGTGCTATTTACATCCAAAACTACTTTTGGACAATATCCTATTCTCGGCAGCTATGAAATTGTAGGGAAAAATGGGCAAGTTCCACTGTGCAGCTCAACCACTGAGGCTATAACTCCAGAACTAACTGTAAACACAGAGGAAAAGCATGAGTTTCACCAAGCTGTGTATCAGGAACCATCTAATTCATTAAATAGCAGTACTGAAGTTTTTGGAGATCCACTAGCTCCTGACTCCAGAGATGTTCCACCGTCAGTCATCTCAAGCTTCGATTGGATGCTTAATGGTGCAATGCAGCAGTCATTCAATATCCTTCCTTCTCATCCAACTAATGGAAATGCACAAGAAAATGGTTCTTCTGAAGATGCGCCGCCACCGCTTCCACCTCTTCCACCAATGCAGTGGCGAACAAACAAGCTACAGACAGGGTCATCACCGTTATCTGCAAAGACCGGAAGACCACCAAGGCCAAAACCTCCAGTAAAACAACAAGAAAGTGAAGCTGCTTGGGTTCTTCGGGAAAAGAGTCTGCACAAAGGCTTGAATTTGCAGAATGAAGTAGTGCAGGCAACTATTTCTAGTGACCATGAGATAAATCAAATCCATAACATGGATTGTCAAGAAAATCATCACCAGGAAGGAGAGGAGTATGATGGCCAGGATTCTAATCCATTTCCCAAGTCAGAAGTCGAATGCTTGTCAGAAGTTGCTTCAGTAAAAAGTGAAAATCTGCACACATTGCAGCTACGTGAGCTTATAGTTGTTCCGGAAGAGGCGTGGTCAGTGTTTGGTAATATAAAATCCATACCAGAACAAGAAGGAAAACGCCAACTAAGCAATGGACTTTCTGTTTGCAATGGCTTGTGCACCTCTGATTTGTCAGCACAAAAGACCAGCCAGAAGCCTGAAATTTTTGCAGATTATAAGGAAAAGGAATTTTCAGCTGCAGGTAGTGACAAAGTTGCAGATTCAGAAGAAAACAGACCAAATGGTGCTATTAAACAGGAGGGTATGCTGAATCCTGACTTGCCAGCGCAACAGAAAAACGACGAACATGATTGTGATGACAAGGCAAGGGAGTTTTCCTCTGCATTAGAAGAGGAATCGTCAAAATCACCAACTCATGCAGTCCCAAAACCACCTAGATATCCTCTACTTCTTGTTACTTCTCATGACAGAAGCATGGTATGTGGGACTCTTTCATATTTGGTTTTAAATGATTTTAATATCCTCACCTGACCATTTCTCTTTTACCCTTTTATATAGCTAAGAAAGGCTCCAACTTTGGTTCAGCCTTCGAGTCAGCTTTCAGATGAGAAGAACACACTTTTGGAACAGATAAAGAACAAGGTAATCCTTGTAGGGTGGATTAAGCCACATCACCATCATTACAACGGTTTCTTTTTTTTTCTAATGAAAGAAAATACAGTCAAATTAAGCTAAAAGTGCCTTAAATCAATTTGACTTGTTTCAGTCTTTCAACTTGAAGCCTGTTATTGCAAAGAGACCAAATGTAATGGGTGGTCCAAAAACGAACTTACAAGTGGTGGCCATTCTAGAGAGAGCCCATGCGATTCGCCAGGTTACAAGTCATTCCATTTCTTCCTAGCTACAATTTCGGTCGATTATAGCTGTATTATCTATGATTAAACGATAATTATTTCTTTTAAAACAGGCTGTTGCTGATGACGATGACGAGGATAGCTGGAGTGAGTAGCTGGCTCTTCCTCAGAGCAATTCATTTCGGCTCCTGATGTTTCACTAGTGCTTGCGTCGATCCAGACCTTTGTGTCCCTGTTCTTGCATGGAGCAAAATATGGAATGGAGCAGGATTCCATGCCAAGACAGCTGATTTGGACCAGGTGATGTCCATGGATGGGCAGGATAGAAGCAACGTTAGCAACTGCAAACATAGTGTGCGTCTCTACTGTACTATCTGTAACGAGTTTCGAAGCACGTCACATGTTTATTATATCTTTCGATACGCCTCCTGAAAATTTGATGTGCTTGGTGAGGATTGTTAGATTGTATATGCCTCCTAGGACTAGTTTGATTTTTGTAACTTGGTGAGTGTACAGAAAGAAGCATGATTGTTGAGTTGTTCTGGACAAATCTGAAGCTGCTAGAGCATGCAACTCGACTGTATACTCTGACTCTGAATCAGACAATGGCCGCCTGAGGTAAGTTTCAGGTAACAGAAGGTGCTAGGGAATGTGAATCCACCGTCTACGTACCGTATACTCCTTAGTCCCAAAATAAATACTACACTTCTAGAGTTTAAAATTTATTATCCCAAATAAGTGCACATTTAGATATGAGACAACCTAACTCTAGTTATCTTTTATACTTTCTCTTTTTCTCAAAGTGCAATAATTACATATTTATAGAGATATATATGCAGGGCCTGCTTGATTTTCGACCAAAATTTGTCATACCAAAAATTTGACAATTAAAAGTTGGGCACTTCCATAGATTTGGCAAGCAAAATGTTTGAGGTTGGTAAGTTTTGGAAACAAACCAAATATTTGTCAAAATCATGGTTTGCCAAATCGGCTTGATAAATTTGGAAATGAACCAAACAGCCCGTAATTTCTCATTAGCATTGATCTTCTCGTCAAAACCCTAGAAGCGCACTTGTTTTGAAACCGAGGGATACCTATTTGTGTATACCAGATTTGTTCCCTTATGAAGCCACGTCAATTGTTGCTGGTTGCTGCATCACGCGATTTTTTCCCCATCCCCCTCCCAGGTTCCCACCGTTCGTTGCCCAGGCGATTAAAAAAGGGATATTTGGATTGAGGCCATTACAATTCTTCAAATTTTGAAAAACGCCATTATAAATCCTCTATTCGGAGATAGGCCATTATAATTCTCGTTATTCTTGAACCTTGCCATTTTGTACACATGCCACGTATTGGGGCCCACTGTCAGCACTGTATGCGTACAGGGATGCAAACGAGCGTTATCTATCGCCTCCTCCGTTAAGTAGCTCGTGTCGCTCTCACTCGCTTTCTCCCCTTCCCGTTCCCCTTTCTCAGCGACGAACCCTAGCTCGGCGATTGAAGGCGGCGGCTGCGGCTGGCGCGATTGAATCGATTCTGCGGCGGCGCTGCAGGCGACGACGGTTGGAGAACCAGAGTAGGTGGCCAGGCAAGTAAGCAGGCGGTGGCGGCTGGGGATCCCAGAGGCGACCGTGCCTGCACCGAAGGCGATGGAGCCCCCATAACCCCCACTGGTGCTCTGCGGCAATTGGTGGCGGCGGTGATGGAGGACGACGATAGCAGGTACCTTTCTTGCACTCTTGATGTCGTTTTGTCCATCATAGTGTTGGGATTAGGGTTCTATGTGCTTGCTAGTGTAGATGTACGCCATTCTGCATATTTACAATTTCATTTGCGTTAGGTGTGAGATGTTCGCGCTAGAGGTTAAAGTGGAAGCTTTCGCTTCCAATGGCTCTGATGGGAGGAAATCGTACACGAAGGGAACTATTTTTAAGTGGGATGTCGAGTTTGGGAGTTTGACACTTGAGTTGCTGCTGAGTAGTTTGTGTAAGGAGTTGAATTTATCTTCTGCTCAGAAACCTACAGTGTGGTTCTATGACAAAAGACTGCATGAGGATGTTAGATTAGCTAATGAGATTCAGATGGTTGATATGTTTGAAATGTACAAGGAGGAGAGGAGCTGTCAGGTTGTAGTTGGAGTGTTTGATAATGCAACTTGTTCAGATGTTGAATTTAATGCACTGGAGCCACTTTGTGTGGTTCCTCCTGATGTAGAGTTAGGCAACCTTGATGCTAACATGCCTACAGAGCCTACAACCAAATGCAATGTGTCTGTTGATGACATTCCAAAGGCAACTGCTGTAGATGTAGATATAGATGTAGTGCTTGATATGTTTCATAATGCTGAAGAATATGTTGGAGTGGATGATGAAGCTATGTATATTCTAGTGTCAACTGCACAGGCAACTGGGAATACAGAGGCAGCTGATGACAATGCACTGTCTGACAATGCATAGTGTCGGTGTTTCGGAACCGGAGGTCCTTAACCGACTAGTGAATTTATGCTGCGTGCTCCCAATTCCGGATGGTGATGCAAAGAGACACAAGGTTTATACTGGTTCGGGCAAGGATGCCCTACGTCCAGTCTGAGAAGATGTTCTTGTATTCCTTGCACCGGGGTGCTCGTAGTAGGGGGTTACAAGCTAGGCGAGAGAGGGAGTTCGTGCCAGGTCTCTGTGAGGGGAGGTGATATGAATTACAGAATGAGGCATGTTGTTCGTGCGAGTATTCGTGACTCTATCCGCTGTCCCTAGAAACGGTCCTGGCCGCCTCCTTTTATATAGCCGCAGGAGGAAACCAGAGTACATAAGAGAGCTACACGTGGAGCGGACTATTCGATGACGTATTTACTCTCGAGCAACATGGCGTTGTCGTGGGAGTTCCCGTAGATGTCTAATCGGTATGGTCTCCATCGCAAGTAACATGCTTTGCGCATTTGTTGGTTTGGTGGATTGCGAAGCTTTCGGCGCCATCATAGCCGGTCGTGCCGAGGCCTGTTGTTGTCTTAGCCGAGGTCTGCCGTCTTAGGGCCTCGGAGAAGTGACCAGTGTAGATGCGGGTATCGGCGCCATCAGCGAACGAATAAAGGCGAGACGTCGCCCTGCTGGATACTGATACTGTGTTGTCGATGGGGATGGTAAAAAAGGTGATCTGACTGTTGTCCCGTCGCTCTTGTTGTAGCACACTGCCGATCGTGGCTTACGTAGCGGGTGCGGTGGCGCGCATTATGTCGGATCTGACGACCGCCAGAGAGACCTTTGAGGCGGAGGCGACGAGGTTGCGGGGCGAGCCCGGCCAGGTAGGCGGAGCGCGGCGTAATTCGTCCGTCCGAGGCCCTACCGTGGGGTCTCGGGCGGTGGACGGGCGAGGCGGAGTAAGATCAGTGAATCCGAGGCCCTGTCGAGGGGGCTCGGGCGAGACGGAGCGGTCGGTCCGCTGATTCCGAGGCTACAGGAACCCGTTCTGACTCCCCACGTTGCGATGTCTTTGGTGCAGGAGTTAGGCAGCACAGTGGTCGGTAACCCCTGCTCTGTGCCATCGCAGATGGCAGGAGGTTGACGCGACTGGCGTGTAGTCGGTCACTTGCCAGATCTTGTGCCATCGTGCGTCTGTCGGAGTGGTTAGGCGCTTGGATGCGACGTTCGGTCAGAGCAGTTCGGTCGAAGAGGCGGTCACGGGGCTGGTCCCGAGCCGGCCTCGCGCGAATCGGAGAATCGGCACTTCTTCCGAGGCCCCGGGCGAGGGGGGCTCGACGAACGGGCCTCGGCGAGGCTGTCTCGGGTGAGTCGGAGAATCGTTTGCTTCCGCTGGGGCTCGGCGACGGGGTCTCGGGCGAATCGGAGATTTCGGCCGAGACCTCGTTTGTTTATTCCGTTGGTTCTGTTTTTAGGGTCTAAGCAGTTTTTCGATCTTTGCTTGGGGTACCCCATTTTCTGGTATCCGACAGTAGCCCCCGAGCCTCGGGCGGGAGTGTGGGATACTCTCCCTGAGGTTTTGCTGAGACTTTTGTTTCTCAGTGGCTCTTGTTGGGTTTGTTTTATACTTGCGATTCTGGTGGGTGCGCGCGAGCGCACCCGCCGGGTGTAGCCCCCGAGGCCCTAGAGGAGTGAGCTTACTCCTTTAGGGGCTTTTTCTTCATTGAGTGAGGCACTCTATCGCATATGCTAGACCCATGAGAGCGAGCTCGGGTCGCTTGTTTTCGTTTGGGGTGCAGGAGGAGCCCCCGAGCCTGCCGAGCCCTCACGTGCGATCCCGCACGTAGCGAGAGGGCGATCAGGAGTTCCCCTAGCTTTTGGTACGACCCTCGCGCATCCTTTTTGTTCGGAAGGAGGGGTTATTTGCCGAGCCCTTCGCGTGTGAGCCTAGGCCGCTGGGTCTCGGCAAGGTTGCAGGAAGAGCCCCCGAGCCTTCACACGTAGCGAGAGGGCGATCAGGAGTTCCCCTGGCTTTTTGTACGACCCTCGCGCATCCTTTTTGCTCGGAAGGAGGGGTTGTTTGCCGAGCCCTTCGCGTGCGAGCCTAGGCCGCTGGGTCTCGGCAAGGTTGCAGGAAGAGCCCCCGAGCCTCCGCACGTAGCGAGAGGGCGATCAGGAGTTCCCCTGGCTTTTTGTATGACTGAAAGGTCCTTGTTGGTTTTGGTAATTGAGTGACAACCTAGGTGGACTAATTGTGTTTATGTGAGATACACAGGTGTTTAGTCCACAGGTACATGTGTATGAGCAACATATGCCATGGAGGTGAAAATGGCTTGGAGATGTTGCAAAGCTCACACATGTGATGATGAAGGAGCTTATTGCACATGAGACATGACATTGAGTCATGTGATCAAGGTGGAGAAGATCAAGACAAGACTTGGCTTGATGGACCGGTTGCAAGCGTGAAGGGCAAGTCAAAGGCTTTGGAGTGATGGACCGCGTGGCGGTGAAGCTTGAGCAAGACTTGGCGCCGATGGACGATAGCAACGGTGAAGAGCAAGTAGAGTCAAGATCGATGAACCAATATGATCATGTGATGATATGAAGTGGATCATATCATTGTTGATCGTGTTGGTGCATGTGTTGCATCGACATTGAAGGAGATGGAATGGAATGCGCAAGGCAAAGGTATAACCTAGGGCATTTCATTTCACCGGTCATAGGTGTGTAGAGAAGTTTATGACCGGGTTTAGGATAGATGGCCGTACTATCAAGAGGGCAAACTTGTTTGCATATCGGTCATCTAGTGCCACTCGAGTGATCTAACTTTGCATTGTCGCTAGGATCGAGTGGCGTGGCAAGTTGAGTGGCTAACATCCTTTGGGA